CTTGCTCGTGAGCTGCAGTAGCGTGGCCAGTTGCGACTTGCGTACGTGGCCTCTGAGGCCAACACTGCTGATGTGTTCACCAAGGCACTCGCGCCTTGTGACCATCAGCGCTTTTGCACCCAGCTGGGTCTTGTGCCTGTCTTGCCTCACTTGCTCTCCTCTTGACTTCACTTGTACTGTGACATATATATATACCTGCTCTTGCTTGTCTAGTTTTATATATATGTCTGTACTCCTGCATGTGAACTGGCCTCTGGCCCTGCTGTTGTGCTCGGACTGTGTGGTGACTTTGTGATCCACCCTGAGCTTGCTTTGCTTTGCTTTGCTTGACTGGTCTTGTGACCCCTTGTTCTCCCCCACTTTGCCTATGGGGGTGTGTCAGATTATCATAGCTGATGCATGTTTGTAGGCTATAGTGGGGTAGCACATATGGGGTACAGCTTTCTAGGGTTGTATTTGTACCCAACTCTGACTTAGTCATTTCATTCCTGTTTTCCTTGCTTCACATTCGCCCCTCCCACTCAGAACACCACCATTTCCCCCATGGCTCGCGCTCTTTGGTCGAGACCTCAGTTGACTTCGTCTCGAAAGTAGGAAACCCATTTCCGCTTCAGCCCCAAGCTAAATATTCTTGCGCACCCCATATAAAGTGAAATCGGCTGATTGAAATACAGAAAATGATTTCTGTAATCAACAAAACTCCCCCTCAATCTGGGGATTTTACTCCACGCACACTCTGTTGCTGACTTGTCCGTTTCCCCAACCTGTTAATAACTCATGAACTGTCGTGTTTGTCACTCACTGCTTTCTGCACAGGCTTCTTTATTTTCCTTCTCTGTCGATCCGATAATCATTACTCCTTCACCGATCCCTGACTTCCCTCCTTTAGCAAGTCAGATTCTGCCAATAGATAACCCTGTTCAGCTTCATCCCACGTTGAGCATCTCCGAAACTTCCCGTTGTTGCTGTCACACCTTGTGGTGCATCACTTTCACTTGACTCAAGCTTAGCAGTATTACTGTTTCTCTCGTTCCTCCTCCGCCTGTGCTGCAAGTGCAACAATACCTCCCACCATTTCTTGCACCCACTGCACCAGCTCCTTGAACACAGTGATTAATGCCGATGCATCCAGGTTCCCCACGGCTTTACTCGTGCCAATCGCCTTTCTTGTGTCAACCTTCCCACGGACAGTTTCTTCTTGCCTCAGACAACTGTGGATACGCTCCTTGACAACGGTTCCACTCGGCTTCAGCTTGTCCTTAGATATTTCTAGACCCTTGGTACATGTGGTTGTCTTGAGCAGTCCATTGTTCTTGCCAAGACCAGACCTGTCAGCAGTTTTCACCCCGGCGTTATCTTGTTTCTTGCTCCTTTGCACTTGACCCGCACAAGCAGCTTCACTTGCCTGCTTGCCCAGACCCTCAGCTTCACACGACTGTAGTGATGGCACAGCTTTGCACACCCTCACCCTCGCAGTAGCCTTACTCCCCCTGAAGGCAACCTTCCTCTTGTCTTTGGATTTCTTCAACTTCAAGCAGCACGCAATGACCTTCAGCTGCTCAACCAGCTGCACTCCTATCTGCTTCAACTCGTTTATCTCATCCATGCTAACTGTCATTGACTCCCCCTCGACGATACGCCCCTTCTCATCGGTTTGTGCTGCAACTTTCTCCCATGGCACAGCAGGTACTCGCCACAGCTCACTTTCCGAGTTCCACTCATCACGTAGTTCCCAAAGCACTTTGCTCCCAAACCTTCCTTTGAAGCGACCAGATCTGCTCTCGGTGTTCACTCCGGCGACAGCTAGCTTCCTTAGTGATATCAGGTTCGCCGTCATTTCCGGTATGAATAGCACATTCGTTCTGCTTACGGCGCGTCTGCTTACGGCTCTCGTTCTCCTGCTTGCCGTCACCGTCACTCTCGCATCACTCGCTTCCACGGCTGTTGCTCGATCTGTTCGGCTTCTTGGCGACGAGATGATTACCGATGGTAAGTAGCCGACCTCGATTATGGCTGCCGATGATTTCCCGTGCGTTTGTGCGCACATCTGGAAAAGCGAGAAATTCCGCTCCATGCGAGGTTGGCTCCATGCGAGATTGGCTCCATGCGACAGGTCCGCCTGTCACTCACTCCCGCCCCATCACTCACCTCTTCTCCCTCTCCCCTCGTCCCCTGCGCAAATCTACGTGTCGGCATGGCGTGCCGCAGGTGCGTCAGGAGCGGTAGACACTGCCGGCGGCGTCATCGCGGCAGAGAGCGCGCCGAGCGGTGTTCGGCCCAGGGACGACGCGCAGAGCCGCCGCAAACTCGGGTGGTTAAGTGATATTATCAAGAAATATAATGACTTTAAAAACAGTAAGCATGATCATGTCAAGCCCTGCTCCACGTAAGGCTGTGTGCCCTTTCCAGAAAGCTCAACTCGAGTTAAATCGCGGCCGTCCGTTTGCTCCTGCCTCCAGTGATGCCACTTTTCAGTGACCCATGCTCTGAAGTGAGAAGACGACTCTAACGGTCTCTCCTTGATGTCGCTCGTTTGCAGGCCGGCCCTGTAGTCCTCAGGACGTCCCTGCCTCTTGCGTTAACCCGCCGGTCACGGACTCGGACAAGGCGTGTGCAGCAAAGCGGAAGGAGTGCGGGCTGTCACCCTGGTGAGAGGGAGATGCATGGTGGTGAGCGGGAGAGGCATGGTGGTGAGAGGGAGATGCATGGTGGTGAGAGGGAGAGGCATGCTGGTGAGAATTAGATGCATGGTGAGAGGGAGATGCGTGGTGGTGAGAGGGCGATACTGCGGGGTATGGTGCGGTATGCTGCATGCATGCGGCCATGAAATCATGTGCTAGTTCCATATGCTACCTGTTCCTTTGGAGCAAGCAAGCTTCACACTGTGCCTTCATTCACCTCATCCCCGTGTGCGCAAGTGTTGTTGAGTCATCATGTTGGCATGTGCGCTGTATGGAAAGGCCATGATAGCTGTACCATAGCAGCGCGGCAGAGGCTTAGAGCCTATAATGTGGGGCCCACCGCGCCCGCGTGTGTATGTGATGTGAGACTGACTCGTGCCATCTCCCCACCTTGTCCTTCTCTCTGCAGATCCAGCAGCCGCCAACAGCAGCGCCTCGCAACAGCGACGGGTCCGCTGTCAAGACTGAGAGCGTGAAGTAGTGGCGGGGGAGACGAGGGGGTTCTGTTTGCTGCCATGGATGTTAGTAGCCTTGTGATCATGTGCTTGTGTACTCTGTCTGGGTGATTGTGGGTATGGTGTATCCTTGTGTAGGTGGGTGCTTGGGTGCCTGGGTTTCAATTAGCAACACAGTGTTATCTGATTGTAACAGCTGTATTTCACCTATCACATGATGCCTTGAACCCCTGTGCTTCATCTTACCAGCAGCTATGCATGAATGCGATGTATCGGTAGCCTCCAGCACCACTTCAGGCCGTTCCGAAGCGGTAACTTTGCTAACGGTGCTGCGTAGAGCGGTTTAGGGTTCATGGCGACTAGAGTCGCGGCTCTCATGGCGAGAGGCGACTCGACGAGTAAATAGTCCCGGGATTCTCAAATTTCAACTGGTTTTTGGAATCTAGCTGCGGCACCAAAGAAGCGGGACTTCGGCCTTTCGAAACGATAACCTAGTAAGAGAAAACTCAGATTGTCGCATAACTCAAGCGGCGGTGAGCCGACTTGCCTGACGCTGGGAAACTAAGAAACGTATGGCCTAACGTGCAGTTTATAGCCTCAAATACTACGGATCTCGTGCCTTATTGCGCTTAGCTCTCGAATTTGCCACCGTATTCGACGCTAGAAATATTCCCGTCTAAGAATGCTAGTAACAGTCAAGGAGCGAGCAAGCACTAACAATTTTGGTAGACACACGCTTCGAGAAGTCACAAAATGAGGAGTCAGGATGTAATTCTAGCCATAAAATGGTAGGGCGCGTGCTTATTAGTAAGTACGTCCGCGTATTAGGATTGGGTGTCAGTTGAGACCCTTCCGTTGTCAATTCACACCAGGAAGGACCAATTATCTCAATAACAAATCGTTCGTGTGGCTCGCCATCGTACAAGATGCGAAGCAGACGAAAATGCGAGTTCGGTTTGAAATGACACGGGAACACATTGGCTGAGTTATGCCTTGGAAAGTTGTAAGGCCCGACACTACAGTTGGTCATTACATCTTTCCACGCCCTTCCGTTGCGACTTCTGCTTGGACTGCATTGGATTTACACGCTCTGATTCCGCAGTGTGTCGCATAGGCCTGTTCTATCCTATCCGCATACACTCCCCTTCGAACCGCAACTTCGGAGTAGAGGCATCTAGAGGGAAACAACTTCAAGCCATACCGTCATTCAGTGTCCTGCAATTTTCTTAGCCGTACGATCGCCATGTTTAACATGGGACGTTCGCGGGCAGCACCGTTTGTCAGGAGCGGACAGGAAGAAGCTTTAGCGAAATATATGAGAAAAGTTCCCAGGCACCACTGACGAGCAGCTGGACGCGATCCTGCCGCCCAAGGTGTTCCTCAGTAGCTTCTCGCAAAAATCTTGTAGGCCCACAGTTAACCTTCAAGTAGGCCCACGCATTCGCCTCCAGATAACTCGCGTGATTTATCCTCTTTGATGCTTGCGCTCTCCGGACTTCCCGCTGTCTTTATTGGATAATTATTTTCGGATTTCCACAGAGTTATATTTTCAAGATAATCCCATCGGATTGTTTTTTAATAGAAACTACCGTTTTATTCCGGCTACAGGATACACCAGTAAAAAGCCCCCCCTGGGAGTCTCTATTCCTTCATTTAGGTGCATGTAGACACTTCCCTCAGTGGTTGATCTTTTGACGAAGAAAAGAAAAGAAAAGAGAAAGGGAGAAGGAAAGTGAAACCGCCAAGAAGAACCCAAATGCAACACACATAAAACCCCCCCTCAAGATACCCAATCAAAACGCCCAGTCAAGACACCCTGTCAAGACATCCCATCCCACACCCCATTTCCCCCCCCCCCCCCCAATCACAACAGCGAATCCACCATGTACGGGGCCTCCACCCAGAGAGCCCCGCCTTCCGCATCGCCATCGTCCCACTCCCGGTCCACCAAGTCAACGTTAATCCCCCCCATAGAAGACGCCGCTCGAAGCAGGATGACACGGGCTTGCGCACGTTGCAACGCCACCCCGATGAGCGCCTTCAGTGACCCTAGAAGATAAGCCGAAAACACAGTGTCGTCCTCCCGACAAGCCCCCCGCGACACAGCTAGCCCCACGTGCGCATCTCCCTGCTGACGAAGCCACCTCCGAAAGCGACCGCCGAGACACCCCCACGTCTCCACTATCAGAGGAGTGAACTGCACGCCCCGGTTGCGTGCAAGCAGAGGCGCGTAATCGCTCGTTTTACGACGCTCCCATTCTCTTGCCGCCACGCCTATTTGACGCCCGCACTGTCCTAGCAAAGATTGAGACAGCGATAGCGGGTCCGCGACGCTGATCTCCAGGGCGTGAGCCTCTCCAGCCATTGGTCGTCGCACCGCCACATCAACCCGCTTCCCCTGCAGCACCACACTATCCTCCATTGTCACCACCCCCCCAGACGCCTTAGAGATCTTCGCCACCGCAAACTTCACCTCATCATGTACCCGAGATGGACCATGCTGGTGCTTGCATCTCAGGGCATGATGCGGGTCTGCTGAGTCAACATATGCTGTGCCACAAACACACCTCCCCGCCACCTGCAGCTGCTGAATTGGGAGCCCGAGCCGTATAGCAGCAGCAATGCCCCACTCCGCCGCAGTGAATGTGAGATCTGAGTGAGCCGGAACCGCCGAAACCCATGCACCAGCCCCCGGGCCCTGAAGGGATGTGAAACGGGCCAGGGTGGCATCGTCACGAGCCGAGCGACGCAGTGTCTGGAGCTCCTCTACCGCCAACAACCGCTGCCGCGCCTGGAAAAGCCGAAGAGGAGGGGCCGCTACGCACAGAGGTAAGCCCGGCATCTCCTGGCGTATAGTCGCAGGCAGCTGCTCAAGAGCCTTGGCAAACCACGGGTCAAGAAACTCCGCCCCTGCCGAAGTGGTGAGGTACTCTGCAAACATCGCCTCCTCGCCCGCCACCCCCAACTGTGCAATATCACGCGTGGCCTGTGCCCACCCACAAACATAGGACAGCGGACTCAAAGAGGCTGCTGCCCGGATCCCAAACCCTCCGAGTCGCACAGGGAGATGCAGCTGCATGCGCGCGCGCCTAGACCGGTCGGGGTCATGCTCCCAAGTGCCAGGTGGGAAAAGCTGCTCAAAGCAATCCTCCAGACAGCTATCCCAATCCCTGAAGGCCTCCACCACCTCCGGACGCGGCGGCATAGTCCGGGCCAGGTACATCGGCCGTGCTGAAACTGCAATGGCGAGGAGATGTGAAGCCATCTGGGGGTGGTCGAGCAGGGGGAGCCATGGCAATGGCGCCTGCAACTGTCTAAGCCGCTCCCGTAACCGGGTCACCTCCCAACCCTCCTCCCCAATAGGCACACCCACCACTGTGAGACCCTCCTCCACCCGCTGCATCCCCAATGGCAATGCCAGCTCCACATCCCCGCCCTCGCGCTCCCAAAACCGGCACTTGTGCGCCTGCACCTCCAGCCCCACCCATTCCAACCGCTTCCGCAGCACCCCAAACGCCTCTAGAATCCTAGCCGCCGGTCCCAGGATATAGGTATCGTCTGCGTAGCTCAGGAAATGTAGGTCCCTGAACTCTCTAGTCACCGACTCCATCACCTGCTGCTGCGTGAACGCGAAAAGAAAAGGGCCGAGCGGGTCCCCCTGCCGCGATCCTCGTGCCGACTCAAGGCTCTGTACGAAAGGGCCCGCTCGGAGGTACAGATCGCTAGGTGTCCCGTAGAAAACACGTAAGAATGGGATCAACCCTGAGAAAGGCGACTCCCGCAGCCCCTCAAACATCGCATGACGGTGAAACGAATTGAAAGCGTTCGCGACATCTATCTGCAGCGCACACCAGTCGGGGTGAGTAGCCAGCGCTGACCGGAAAGAATGGGTAAGAATCTCTACCCCGGCCCTGGTGCCCGCTCCCAGCTGGTTGCACGGCAGAAAGTAGGAAGCCATCGCAGGGCGGAGCGAGATGCAGAGAGCTCGAGCAAGGATACGCGGAAGCACTTCCCCAATCGCGACCGGCCGGACGTCGCCGTTAGGCTTGGAAAGCCCAACTAGGTTGGATGCGGCGAGCCAGGGCCGAGCCCGCTCGGGGACCTGTCCCACCACCCATTGGTTGAACACCTCCAACAGGTGGGAAAGGCAGGAAGGTTCAGTGAGGAAGGTGTCGCGCAGATGCTCCGTGACCCACCCCGATGGCCCTGCTGCTGAAGCGCGAGCGGCTGTATGGATAGTTCTGGCCAGGATGTCGGCCGTGAGTGGAGGCCGCTGAGGAGCATCGACGGTGAAATCACGGACCCACTGTGGTACCTCGCTAGTGCTAGCAGGGTGCTTCTCTCGCAGCGACTGCACCATGGCCTCAGACGGCCGGGCCAACTCCCCTGCCGTAAGGCAAGCCAATCCGCGGCTCCACTCTCCCACTTTACACCGAGATCGGCACCGTGACAGGCGGATGGCATCCGGGTCCTGGTCAGAGCAAGTGTAGGCAAGTGGGCGTACTGCTGGCCGCGCCGCCACCATGGCGGAGTCGAACAGCTCCCGCCACCTCCCCTCCCAAAACGCCCCCAACCGCTCTATGATCAGCGCCTTCTGTCCTATGCCTGGCTTGGGAGGCACGGCTAGGATGAGGCGCGGAAAAGCCAAGAGTAGTAGGGTAGCGGCTTCATCCCCCGGCCGGCTCTTCAAACGCTTTAAGACGCAACAGAGCGCGTCTAAGACCCCCGACCGAGCCCGCTGTGGGATCCGGCGCACTGTCCTCCCTCCAACCGCCTCCACACTGAAAAATGCTTCCCATTCCCAAGACGTAACCTCGGCCCACGCCTCGTCCCCAAATTCCCGCGGCGTCGGTCGCTCCTGCGTGTCGGTCTCCACCAGTGACGGGGTCGAGCCAAGTGCCTGCGCGCGCCTCTCCGCCTCAGCCGCCCGGCATACCCTCATGTGGTTCGCAGCAGCCCCTCGCGTAGCGAACGTGTGAAAACACGTGTCACACGGAAAACGAGGGCATGGGGAAGGCTGCATGGGAGGTTCTTTGTCCGCCTCTGACTCCTCCGCAGTCGCCATGGGGGTATCAAACTCCAAAAGTCGGCACCACTCCTCCAACTGCTGCTCCCGGTCGTCCAATGACTGCCCCCCTGGCTGCTGCTCTATCTGGGGTGCTCCGGTCACCCCCGGCTGCCCCCCTGGCTGTAGCACTCCCAGGGGTGCTCCGGTCGCCCCCGGCTGCCCCCCTGGCTGTAGCACTCCCTGGGGTTCTCCAGTCACCCCCGTCTGCCCCCCTGTCTGTAGCACTCCCACGGGTGCTCCGGTCACCCCCGGCTGCCCCCCTGGCTGCTGCTCTCTCTGGGGTGCTCCAATCGCCCCCAGCTGCTCCCCTGGCTGTAGCGCTCCCTGGGGTGCTCCTGTCACCCCCGACTGCCCCCCTGGCTGTAGCACTCCCAGGGGTGCTCCGGTCACCCCCGGCTGCCCCCCTGGCTGTAGCACTCCTTGGGGTGCTCCGGTCACCCCCGGCTGCCCCCCTGCCTGTAGCACTCCCAGGGGTGCTCCGGTCACCCCCAGCTGCTCCCCTGGCTGTAGCACTCCCAGGGGTGCTCCGGTCACCCCCGGCTGCCCCCCTGGCTGTAACACTCCCTGGGGTGCTCCGGTCACCCCCGGCTGCCCCCCTGGCTGTAGCACTCCGTGGGGTGCTTTGGTCACCCCCGGCTGCCCCCCTGGCTGCTGCTCTCCCTCGGGTGCTCCGGTCACTCCCGGCCGCCCCCCAGGCTGCTGTGTTCTCTGGGGTGCTCCGGTCGCTCCCGGCTGCCCCCCAGGCTGCTGTGTTCTCTGGGGTGCTCCGATCACCCCCGGCTGCCCCCCTGGCTGTAGCATTCCCAGGGGTGCTCCTGTCACCCCCAGCTGCTCCCCTAGCTGTAGCGCTCCCTGGGGTGCTCCGGTCACCCCCGGCTGCCCCCCTGGCTGTAGCACTCCCAGGGGTGCTCCGGTCACCCCCGGCTGCCCCCCTGGCTGTTGCACTCCCAGGGGTGCTCCAGTCACCCCCGGCTGCCCCCCTGGCTGCTGCTCTCTCTGGGGTGCTCCGATCGCCCCCAGCTGCTCCCTTGGCTGTAGCGCTCCCAGGGGTGCTCCGATCACCCCCGGCTGCCCCCCTGGCTGTAGCACTCCCAGGGGTGCTCCGGTCACCCCCGGCTGCCCCCCTGGCTGTAGCACTCCCAGGGGTGCTCCAGTCACCCCCGGCTGCCCCCCTGGCCGTAGCACTCCCCGGGGTGCTCCGGTCACCCCCGGCCGCCCCCCTGGCTGTAGCACTCCCAGGGGTGCTCCGGTCACCCCCGGCTGCCCCCCTGGCTGCTGCTCTCTCTGGGGTGCTCCAATCGCCCCCAGCTGCTCCCCTGGCTGTAGCGCTTCCTGATGTGCTCCTGTCACCCCCGGCTGCCCCCCTGGCTGTAGCACTCCCCGGGGTGCTCCAGTCACCCCCGGCTGCCCCCCTGGCTGTAGCATTCCCAGGGGTGCTCCTGTCACCCCCAGCTGCTCCCCTAGCTGTAGCGCTCCCTGGGGTGCTCCGGTCGCCCCCGGCTGCCCCCCTGGCTGTAGCACTCCCAGGGGTGCTCCGGTCACCCCCGGCTGCCCCCCTGGCTGTTGCACTCCCAGGGGTGCTCCAGTCACCCCCGGCTGCCCCCCTGGCTGCTGCTCTCTCTGGGGTGCTCCAATCGCCCCCAGCTGCTCCCTTGGCTGTCGCGCTCCCTGGTGTGCTCCTGTCACCCCCGGCTGCCCCCCTGGCTGTAGCACTCCCAGGGGTGCTCCGGTCACCCCCAGCTGCTCCCCTGGCTGTAGCGCTCCCTGCGGTGCTCCGGTCACCCCCGGCTGCCCCCCTGGCTGTAGCACTCCCAAGGGTGCTCCGGTCACCCCCAGCTGCTCCCCTGGCTGTAGCGCTCCCTGCAGTGCTCCGGTCACCCCCGGCTGCCCCCCTGGCTGTAGCACTCCCAGGGGTGCTCCGGTCACCCCCAGCTGCTCCCCTAGCTGTAGCGCTCCCTGGGGTGCTCCGGACACCCCCAGCTCCCCCCCTGGCTGTAGAGCTCCCAGGGGTGCTCCGGTCACCCCCGGCTGCCCCTCTGGCTGCTGCTCTCTCTGGGGTGCTCCAATCGCCCCCAGCTGCTCCCCTGGCCAAGGCGCTCCCTGATGTGCTCCTGTCACCCCCGGCTGCCCCCCTGGCTGTAGCACTCCCAGGGGTGCTCCGGTCACCCCCAGCTGCTCCCCTAGCTGTAGCGCTCCCTGGGGTGCTCCTGTCACCCCCGGCTGCCCCCCTGGCTGTAGCACTCCCAGGGGTGCTCCGGTCACCCCCAGCTGCTCCCCTGGCTGTAGCGCTCCGTGGGGTGCTCCGGTCACCCCCGGCTGCCCCCCTGGCTGTAGCACTCCCAAGGGTGCTCCGGTCACCCCCAGCTGCTCCCCTGGCTGTAGCGCTCCCTGCGGTGCTCCGGTCACCCCCGGCTGCCCCCCTGGCTGTAGCACTCCCAGGGGTGCTCCGGTCACCCCCAGCTGCTCCCCTAGCTGTAGCGCTCCCTGGGGTGCTCCGGTCACCCCCGGCTGCCCCCCTGGCTGTAGCACTCCCAGGGGTGCTCCGGTCACCCCCAGCTGCTCCCCTGGCTGTAGCGCTCCCTGGGGTGCTCCGGTCACCCCCGGCTGTCCCCCTGGCTGTAGCACTCCCCGGGGTGCTCCGGTCACCCCCGGCTGCCCCCTTGGCTGCTGCTCTCTCTGGCGTGCTCCAATCGCCCCCACCTGCTCCCCTGGCTGTAGCGCTCCGTGGGGTACTCCTGTCACCCCCGGCTGCCCCCCTGGCTGTAGCACTCCCAGGGGTGCTCCGGTCACCCCCGGCTGCCCCCCTGGCTGTAGCACTCCCAGGGGTGCTCTAGTCACCCCCGGCTGCCCCCCTGGCTGTAGCACTCCCCGGGGTGCTCCGGTCACCCCCGGCTGCCCCCCTGGCTGCTGCTCTCTCTGGGGTGCTCCAATCGCCCCCAGCTGCCCCCCTGGCTGTAGCGCTCCGTTGGGTGCTCCTGTCACCCCCGGCTGCCCCCCTGGCTGTAGCACTCCCCGGGGTGCTCCGGTCACCCCCGGCTGCCCCCCTGGCTGCTGCTCTCTCTGGGGTGCTCCAATCGCCCCCAGCTGCCCCCCTGGCTGTAGCGCTCCGTGGGGTGCTCCTGTCACCCCTGGCTGCCCCCCTGGCTGTAGCGCTCCCAGGGGTGCTCCGGTCACCCCCGGCTGCCCCCCTGGCTGTATCTCTCCCTCGGATGCTCCGGTCACCCCTGGCTGGCCCCCGGCCCTCTGCCCTCCCTGTTGTCGCCCCCTTCGGCGCCGCGCCCGCGGCCTTTCCGCTTGGCCCGTGCCGCCCGGGCTAGTGACCCCCTGCTGATCCTGCACCTGCAACTCCTGCGACTCCCCCATCGGCAACCCCTGTTGTACGCTTCCAGTCAAGGGCTGGTTCGCCTCATGACACCCTTGCCGCCGCCCTTCCTGCGACTGGGGTTGATTCCCAATTTGACTCCCCTCCTGCACGCCTACCGGCAGCTCCCCTCGCGCCTCCTCTTGTGGCTCCTCCATCTCCACCTCCAGCTCATGCAGCTCTTGCTGCCCCCCCGCCTGCAGCTCCTGCTGCCCCCCTGCTTGCAGCTCCTGCTGACCCTCCTCTTGCAGCTCCTGCTGTCCCCGCGACTGCAGCTCCTGCCGTCCCCCCGCCTGCAGCTTCTGCTGCCCCCCAGCACGCAACTCCTGCTGCTCCCCGGCCCCCTGCTCCACCTCCATCGCCTCATGCGCCTGCCGCCCTCCGGCCGGCTCCTGCTGCCCCCCCACCTGCAGCTCCTGCTGTCCCCCCGCCTGCAGCTCCTGCTGCCCCCCCGCCTGCAGCTCCTGCTGCCCCCCCGCCTGCAGCTCCTGCTGCCCCCCCGCCTGCAGCTCCTGCTGCCCCCCCGCCTGCAGCTCCTGCTGCGCCCCCGCCTGCAGCTCCTTCTGCCCCCCCGCCTGCAGCTCCTGCTGCACCCTCGGCCACTCGTGTTGTCCTCTGGGCCGCAGCTCCAGCCCCTCTCCGGCCCGCCTCGCGCAGGGTCTTTCCTGCAGGGCTCCGGGCGTGTGCCTCCGTTCCTGTCGTTGGGCCAAACGTGGGCCGCGCAGTGTCGGGATGCCGCGTTCGGTGAGGGCGGAGCCCACCAACGAAGTGCCGAGGACATGGCGACGCCTGTCGTGTGTCTCCTGCAAACGCTGGCGGTGTGCTTCCCATGCTGCCATCGCCGCATCAGGGGCAATGCTCTGCCTAAGCTCCCCGTGTACCTGTTCTCCCTCTTCTGTGACCACCCCGCCTTGATTGGGGCAATTATTGCTGCCGGCTGCGGGGCTGCCCGGAGTGTCTTCAGAGTGTGCCTCCGTCCTCACCTCCGTCGAAAGTGATCCGCACCGTTGGCGTTTGCTGGGCGTGCCTAAGAGGCACTGCTCTTGACTGTGGTGTAGGATACGGAGATGTGGGTGTTGTGTGTCTAGTGCCGTCTCTCTGAGCCTCTTGGGGCCAGACTCCGACGGGCGCTTCCATCCCCTGGTTGCTGTCCTCTCCTCCACGTCGCCCTGGAGTTCCCCTGTTCGCCTCGGGTCTCCCCAGGGCGGCGCCGGGCGGCCTCGGTCAGGGGGTTCGGGGTTGTTGTTCATGGCGACCAGCGCTTGCACGCTGCTGGGCACTGGCGGGTTTCACGCTGCTACGCGCTGTTCGGTCGGATTTAACGCTGCTAAGGGCGGATTTAACGCTGCTAAGGGCAGATTTAACGCTGCTAAGGACGGATTTAACGCTGGCAAGGACGGATTTCTCGCTGCTAAGGGCAGATTTCGCGATGCTAAACGAGGATTTCACACTGCTAAGGGCGGATTTCGCGCTACAGGGGGCGGATCGTGCTTCTAAGGGCGGGTACCGCGCTGCCCAAGGCGTCCTGGCGCTGCTGAGGCTAGATCGCACTGCCTGGTGGCGTCGGGGCGCTGCTAAGGGGCGATTTCGCGCTGCCTAAGGCGTCCTGGCGCTGCTGAGGCTAGATCGCGCTGCCTGGTGGCGTCGGGGCGCTGCTAAGGGGCGATTTCGCGCTGCCTAAGGCGTCCTGGCGCTGCTGAGGCTAGATCGCGCTGCCTGGTGGCGTCGGGGCGCTGCTAAGGGGCGATTTCGCGCTGCCTAAGGCGTCCTGGCGCTGCTGAGGCTAGATCGCGCTGCCTGGTGGCGTCGGGGCGCTGCTAAGGGGCGATTTCGCGCTGCCTAAGGCGTCCTGGCGCTGCTGAGGCTAGGCCGCGCTGCCTGGTGGCGTCGGGGCGCTGCTAAGGGGCGATTTCGCGCTGCCTAAGGCGTCCTGGCGCTGCTGAGGCTAGGCCGCGCTGCCTGGTGGCGTCGGGGCGCTGCTTAGGCGATTTCGCGCTGCCTAAGGCGTCCTGGCGCTGCTGAGGCTAGGCCGCGCTGCCTGGTGGCGTCGGGGCGCTGCTAAGGGGCGATTTCGCGCTGCCTAAGGCGTCCTGGCGCTGCTGAGGCTAGATCGCGCTGCCTGGTGGCGTCGGGGCGTTGCTAAGGGGCGATTTCGCGCTGCCTAAGGCGTCCTGGCGCTGATGAGGCTAGGTCGCGCTGCCTGGTGGCGTCGGGGCGCTGCTAAGGGGCGATTTCGCGCTGCCTAAGGCGTCCTGGCGCTGATGAGGCTAGGTCGCGCTGCCTGGGAGTGTTGAAAGCGTTTGGTGGTCCAGGCTGACGTGGCGGTGACGAGGCTGGTGAATCGCGTGCTGGTGTATGGACTCGAGAGCGGGCTGCCCATGCTCTTCGACTGCGACGGCCGCGGCACCGAGATCTACCCCACTGGTAGCCACATCGCCATGTAACCACACGTGCGCACGTGTAACCACACCGATACCCATGTGCGAAACCCCCCCTCGTGCTGCTGTGCAGGGACTGTGGCGCTGCTGTTGGTGCAGCTTGTCAGACTAGCATCCCAAAATGCGTGAGGTCGGGGTGGCAGCTTTTTTAGGGTTTGCGAGAGAGTAACTCTCCAGAACTTACCCGCAGGTAGCATTTCGGGGTTCGCGGCTCGGGAATCAGTGGGCTGCATCAACTACGAAGTTTCGACCAGATCCTCGCGAATGATTTTATTGGTCGAACGCTTTCCACCAGATCCACGAAACTTCCCTTGAGACCCTTCGAATGATTTCTATTGGACATTCGATTCGAACCTACTGCTCGGTAAGTTTAGGTTTTCGAAATACTCCTTCCAAGAAGTAGCGGCTTTGAGAAGGTTTGCAGATACGTGACTCGCACAAGAGCATCTCCGTTCCAGTGTATAGTGATGATTGCTATTGAAATATCTTGTTCTTATGTGCATGAATTTTGTACACAGCTTATATTGACACCAACATATTATATTGGGTTGATTTGCATGCGTAACTAAAGCAGTTAAACACTCTGATCTTGTCTGTTGTGATTTTTTGGACATTAAATTCACTACATAATTATTTCTGCTACTTATATTTAGGTGAATTGTTAGGGAATGGTGGAAACAAGGTGGAAACAACCGGGGTAAGGGGGGCAGGGCTATAGACAGTGAGTCGTAATAAATGCGACTACTTTTCCAAATACAACCTACACTATAGTACCTGGTATAGAGTATCAGAAGCTACCGCACCATCCAGTGAAGCATTTTCATCACCACGCATACGGGTTCAATAGTTTCAGAGTGGTCCTCTTAAAGAGAGGAACTATGTGCTCAGCCCTCAAGATGGCATCAATGTGCACGACGCGATAGGCATCAGCCCTACGACGGCAGGCTAATTTTACGAAGGCTGTGTCTTAGTCCTCTCCTCTCACGTCCAGGAGCTTCACGTACGCGAGTGGCTGTTTCTTTATCTCCCGTCCAGCTCTGGTTTGGACATGGAAAAGCATGAGGAGCTGGGCATACACAACATCTGACCCCACTTGAGTACGGTTACTGACCATACTCCCGTCCAGAGCTAGATAGGAAAACCATGGATTCCCATGGAAAGCCACGGTTGCCCTTGCATAGTGAGCATCATTCAAATCATTCTTTGGGAGTGCAACTGCAGAATGCACCTGCATAGGACGAGAAAGTTTGGGATGGCGAATGCAAAAGTTTCATTCTTCGGGAAATACAAACTTCAACGTCGGCAATATAAAAGTGACAAAGCTTAGAATAACACTGCGCATAATGGTGGTGATGGTAGGTGAGATGTTTTTCTTACATGGACGATGTCATTTCGAATACCACGTTCAGCGAGGGCTATTGTGATATCGTTCATGGCGCTGCCGTGTTGCTCCAAAAGCCCTTGCCAGAGTTTCTCCGCTTTTCGACCATCAACAACATGTAGAAGTTGAGAAGAAGTGAACGAGAGAATGAGTGAACTATGAACGAAGTGAGTACAAATAGGAAACCCTAACTGGGTTGTACCCCCTATGGGATACCCCACTATAGCCTGTGAAGAAAGGAACGCTGATGATCACAAGGCCCAAGTGCGTGCAGCAACGCTGATGATCACAAGGCGCAAGTGCCTTGGTGAAGACATCAGCAGTGTTGGCCTCAGAGGCCACGTACGCAAGTCGCAACTGTCCACGCTGCTGTAGCTCACGAGCAAGAAAGTAGCGGAGAGCAATGTGCTTTGTCCTGTGCTCCAGTCGCTGCTCTCCACACAAGGCCAGCATGGCCTTGTTGTCTACGTACAGGACTGGAGGAGAACGAGGCGGCTCTCCAAGGTCGGTCAACAGGTAGGTGAGCCAGCGTAACTCGTGTGCAGCCATAGCCCCGGCGTAGATCTCAGCCTCACAACTGGAGCCGAGAACAGAAGACGAGCGGGTAGCCCGCCACGAAACAGAGCCGGAACCAAGGCTGAAGGTGTAACCCTGTGACGACCACTGCGTAGCCTGGCCGTCAGCCCAAGAAGCGTCCGCGTGCCCAGTGAGGACCACTGGACTGCGCCCTCCAAGCACTAGCCCCATGCCCGACGTACTGCACAAGTAGCGCAACACCCTCTTCACTGCAGCCATGTGCTCTGGTCGGTGTCTCCCAGGAGCAACATAGCGTGCAAGAATGCTAAGAGGGTATGCAAGGTCAGGTCGTGTGCAGGTCATCAGGTACATGAGGCAGCCGACAAGCTCTGGATACGGGCCACTCGACTCTACGGACTCATCCGAAGGCAGAGCTGAGAGCGAGTGGCGAGTAGGCAGAGGAGTGGCCTGAGGCGAGGAGTACGTGAAGCCGAAGCGCTGAAAGACCTGCTGCACCATGTGTGACTGAGTCAGGGTAATGGTGCGGCGTGCTCTGTCTCGGGTGATCTGCAAGCCAAGGTAGCTGCGCAGTTCACCCAGGTCAGTGCACGTGTGTCTCTTCTGCAGCTCCGACTTCACGTAGGCGAGTCCAGCAGTGTCAGCTGTGGCAAAGACCAAGTCGTCGACGTACACGAGGATGTAGAACGGCGGCAGAGAGGTGTCGGTGCGCAGAAACAGCGACGGGTCGGCAGTAGAAGGAGCAAACCCAAGTGCCGCCAGCGTAGTCCTCAGTGTGTCGTGCCACTCACGTGGCGCCTGGCGGAGACCGTAGACTGGACGCCGGAGACTCCACTGGGTACCAGGAGGGAAAGACCCAGTGAAGCCAGGTGGGCGACGCAGCCAGATCTCCTCGTGCAGGCTGCCCTGCAAGAAAGCTGTGCTGAAGTCGAGAGAGTGCAGCTCGTAGTCACGGTGAGCAGCAACGTGCAGCAGTACCCGAAGAGTGGTCATCTTCGGGGTGGGGGAGAAGGTCTGAAAGTAGTCAACCCCCTGCCGCTGACTGAAGCCACGAGCCACGTAACGCGCCTTGAAGACAGGCGGAGAACCCGGCGGCCGCTTCACCCTGAAAATCCACAGGCCACTGACGACGTTCGCCCCAGGAGGGGGAACAGCGTCAACCTAGGTGCCTGTGGACTTCCAGGAAGCCATCTCTGCATCCATAGCTGCCTGCCAGTGAGAGGAGTAGGGACCCTCTATCGCCTCCGCGTAAGAGCGCGGAGTCGGGATGTCTAGTGCATCCGGGTCTCCCTCAGGGGCTAGCAGTACAGACGCGAGATGAGGTGAAGCGGCGGCCAGACAGTGGAACTCCTCCTGCCTGTCCTCAAGGACGTCCGTGCCAAGGGCACACTCATCCCCGACGGACGGAGGACAGGCAGACTCAGACTCAGCGACAAGACTAGCAGCGTAGTCTAGACGACAGCGCGCAGCAAAGTCGACGAGCTCAGTGACAAGGGCAGACGCAGTAGAAGACTCGAAAGAAGGGTCAGTGACAGCAGTAGCAAGGAGACGCGTGACAGTAGGACTGGCAGCACGAAGAGAGTCCGACTCCGGGTCGGCAAGAGCAGGAAGAGAGGAAGCAGGAGGAGAAGGCAAAGGGGCACGCAGAGGAGCAGTAGACGGACGCAGAGACATCCGGTGCGTGCCAGGGACAGGAGGAGGATGCTGACGCGAACCGCTACCACTAGCGCGCGCAGTACGAACAGGCGACGCAGGACGAGACGCAGGCTCATGACGCTCAGTAAGACCTCCAGTCGGACCAGCGTAGGGAGAAGGAGCAGGCAAAGGTGAGGCAGGCTGTAGCTGTGACTGTGACGAGACAGGCTGTGGACCCTCTAAGGGAGGAGGAGGAGGACCA